TAATTGCACAAAAATTATAAAAAAATAAATAATAAACAACATAAATATCAATTTAAAGTGGAAGTGAAGCAGTCAGTCAAGTTTACATTATTTAGTAAACTGATTTACACTTTAATAAAAAAAATATATAATAAACACGATTAACGTATCCATTTTAAAGAATAAAGCAGTGGTTCCCAAACTGGGGGGCGCGCGCGGCAAGGCTGAGGGATAGTTAGGGCCCTATGAAATCCGTATAATTTTTTCCTAAATTCCATTAGATTTTTTTCCAAATTCCGTTTTTTCCATTAAAAATGTTCTGGACTCCTTTTTAATAGTTAAATTAAATTGTATTAATTAAAAAGCATGTCTTATTAATTAAAATCATGAAACTTAAACATTTTCACATCAATTTATTAAAAGTTTAACAAAAATTACATGTTTAGGGCCCTATGAAATGTTTGATTTTTTCTCATCATATTATTTCTATTTTTTATTGTTACCAAATTCTGTGTTTTAGCATGTCTAATTATTTGAATGCATAAAACAACTTAATTTATTCCTTGTTTTCCTTAAAGTAGCCTTATGAATTATTTTCCCCTCAGAAATTCTGTTGTATATTTACATTTCTCTGGTTATCAAATGAAGGAATACAACATTAATTTAATTTATCATTTATCTTTTAATTATAGAAAATTAAGCAAACAAGATTTTTTTTTTGGCAAACAAAGGGGATTTACTATTAAAATTAAAACATGGAAGAAATGTTTTGTGTGATTATTCCTTAAAAAAAACTATGTTTGTTTCATTTTAGTAGTAGTAGTAGGCTATGTACATTCTACTGAAATATAGTTATAGGCACAATGTCTTCAAATCAAACCGGACTTTTATTTTGACGGGTTGCTGTGAATACCTTTACAGTTCTGTGTATGAGATAAGACGCTAGTTTTACTCAAATCAAACGCTAAAATGCTCATGAAGTGACTCTCAGAGCAGTTCTGCAGATGTTGTTCATGTGTTTACGTCCTCATTTAGTGAGACAGACGCTGAAATAACCGCGAGTGTCACGCGCACTTCAGTGTGTTTGTGTAGTAAATGAAACCGCGCGTCTGCTCCATTCATTAACAGAGACAGGCAGAACATGCAGGATTCATATTTAAATCGACTTTTGCAGCTTAATTTTTACAGATACTACTCCATATCATGATTTGATTTAAGTGTAATGACCTACTTTTGATTAATTCATTCAAAATGTGAGAAATTCCGTGACATTCAGCGTTAAACTGTGAATTCTGTTTTTATGACTGGATAAAGACTACACTGCGTAATTTTCCATACATAAAAACATAAAATATCTTACATACCACCACTTGTGAATGAGCCAGTGTAACGCAAATATATCTGAAAGGTCTGCGCGAGGATATCGTCACATTCTCGCGAGACACATCGGATCTCGTCACACCCCTAAAATATAATAATCAATAATATTTGGGATTGAGCTGTATAAACTGAAGTGCTTTGCTAACGGGCTGATTATGTTGCTTTCACATGCAATCGGAAATTTCCTAATTCCTAATGAATAAATATACGTTACTGTTGTGAACGAGCCAGTGTAACGCAAATATATCTGAAAGGTCTGCGCGAGGATATCGTCACATTCTCGCGAGACACATCGGATCTCTTCACACCCCTAAAATATAATAATCAATAATATTTGGGATTGAGCTGTATAAACTGAAGTGCTTTGCTAACGGGTTGATTATGTTGCTTTCACATGCAATCGGAAATTTCCTAATTCCTAATGAATAAATATACGTTACTGTATATATGTATACGACAAGATTAAGCAATGTAGATGTTGTGGTGAAAAACTAATAAAGCTTAACAGTCACTATAGAAATGCATATAGCAAGTTTATGGCCCACACAACACAAAAACTCAAAATTCTTTCCAAGTTTCTTGAGACGCCACTCCTGCCCAATTTCGAACTAGAAAACTCGTATTTATGATAATTCCATAATTATGATTCACAAGTAACCTTGAACTAAGTTACATGTTAGTCGGCACACTAAAACATGAATAACTAAAAATGTTAGTTATCTATGAGGAAAATGCATAACTTTGCACGTTGCTTTTTTAAAATTAATAAAACTGATAAAATTAATAAAACTATTAATTTAGTTGAATTCAATCCCATTTTAGTTAAACTAAAACCAAGCTATGAGTTACCCAAACACTAAATTTGGAGGATATTTTTGTCAAAATAACAAATAATGTCAATAATGACTCAAATGAAAATGGCTTCAAGAAGATATGGTGCTTTTGTTGTTATTTTGGAGCACAATAACCAGAATCCCTGTTCACTTTCATTACTGTAAATGAGCGGCCTGTACATTCTTCCATTTGTGTTACACCGTGGAAAGCAAGTCATATCGGGTTTGGAACAACACAAGGGTGAACTACTCATTTAGACCGAAGATATTACATTGAGAAAGGGAGGGTGTGCTGGAAGATGTCTGTGAACGGTCTAAAAGAACGCGCACCCGTTTAAGGCCGTATCGCCTCAGTCACATGTCGATGCCACTCGTCCATCATCATCCTACAGTCCTCCTGAGGAAAGGAAGACAAGCACAGCCTCAGCAGTTAATGATGGTGATTTACACGTGAAATGAAGATGTATGACTGCCGTTTAAATTGCGTTGGTTTTCGGAAAGCTGCATCTCCCCATGCACTCTGTAACAACATCAGGGGCCGTTCGGCTGAGTCAGTGTTCAAACGCAGTCAATATAAAGTTGTTACAAATACATTTCTGTCACTGTTTTTTTTGCAAAATGCTTTTGCAAGTTCAAACTTTGACATTTTCAGAGACATCCGCTGGGAAACAGAAACCTCGATCAATCCCTACTAGAAATGTCACATCCGAGTCTTTTGTCACCATTAGCTAGGAAAATATCACAGTTTCCATGATGAATTTTGTCCGGTTTGTACAGGACCTGAATGGCAGACATTATTTGTGTCATCTGTGACATGAATATGACGAAAACATTCATGAACATGTCCACATTATCATTAATTAGCATCTTTTATATTTACATTTTATATTTTGTGCACGTCTCTGTAAAAAAATATGCAACGTTTAATATTCGATAGATAGATGGATAGACAGATAAGCTAGATCTTGTATGTGTGTTTATGTACAGTTGTGTTCAAAAAATAGCAGTACAACATCAGTAACCTGATGAAACACTGTTATTAGCAGTAATGATATTACTGCATTGCAAATAATTTACTTGTGGATGTAGTAGTATAATAGAAAAACAACAGCCCCAACTGGCATGACATGCGTGCTGCTTGTTCTGTGTAATTGACTTATGCATTGAAAGGGAGTGCTCAAAATAATAGCAGTGTGGAGTTTCATTAGAGAATTCATTCATTCTGTGAAAAAAAACAGGGGCCATTAATTGTCCTTTATTAAGGAGGAAGGAAAGCAATGTGTCATACATTGTTATAAAATATGTTTTCTTCTGAATTGCGAAGCTGTTTCATGCACTGTTCGGAAGAACAAAGTAATTTGATTAAAACGTTGATTGGAGAAGGGAAAACTTATATAAAAAAGTGCAGTAAATTATAGGATGCTCAGTTAAAATGATCTCAAATGCTTTAAAATGGCAACAAAAAACCCAAAACACGCAAAAGAAAATGAGCAACTATTGTTAAAACGGATCGAAGAATAATCCGAATGGCAAAGATCCAGCCAATCATCCCCTCCAGAAAGATCAAATATGATTTATAATGACCTGTAAATACTGTTACAGTCAGAAGACGTTTGATCGAAGCAAGAAGCATTGTTGAAAAAAGGCATGTGCAGAATGGGTTAACATTTGCCAAGGAACACATCAGTTGGCCCAAAGAGAAATGGTGTAATATTCTGTGGACTGGTGAGAATAAAATTGTTCTTTTTGGATCTAGTGGTCATCGACAGTATGTCAGACGACCCTCGGGTACTGAATTCAAGCCTCAGTATACTGTACACTGTGAAGACTATGAAGCATGGTGGAGCAAAAATCATGGAATGGGATGTTTTTCACGCTACGGTGTTGGGCTTATTTATCATATACCAGGTATCATGGATTAGTTTGAACACATCAAAATACTTGAAGAGATTATGCTGCCCTATGCCGAAGAGGAAACTCTCCTGAAATGGGTGTTTCAACAAGACAACGACCCCAAACGCACGAGTAAGCGAGCAACATCTTGGTTTCAGACAAAAAGGATTGAGGTAATGGAGTGGCCAGCTCATTCCCCCTGACCTCAACCCAACTGAAAGCTTCTGAAGCAAACCCCAAAAATTCACAGGAACTGTGGAACGCAGTTCGTTCATCAGTTTCTAGGTGCCAGAAGTTGGTTGACTATAGATGCATAACATCTCTTAATTCTTTGAATTTGCAATGTTTCCACTATATTTGAAATATGGAAATAAAATCTCTTAAAATATTTGCATATTCATATTTATAAATATTTATTCACTTTTATTAAGGCACTGCTATTTATTGGAACACAACTGCAGGTTTATACTATATATCATTCTATAAAATATTGCACACATTATAAAAATATAAATACAAGTATAAATGCATGTAATAAGTGCATAATTGCATGACTTTAGCTGAAAAATGACTCTTTGTTATTGTCCTCTTGCATTATTGACAAACTATTTTCCTGCTTAACACTGTAAAGCTGCTTTGACAATCAGTATTGTATAAAGCGCTATACAATTAAGGTGACTTGGAAGTTTAGGATGCATTTTTATTTTTTTGAACTTTTGATTTTGTGGTGAAATGTGCGCTGACAGGTTCATGAGACTCACCCCTGCAGTAGTGCGTTGTGTGTGATGACGGCAAGCCGGTGATTCTATATGGACAGATCATATCTTCAGGATCATCACAGACAGCAAACAGGAAGGAACTCAACCGTAATTCTATCTCAGAGATAAACAGCAAGAAAACAGCAGAACGCCTCTAAAATGACTGATTGTTCTGTCAAGCCTTTAATTGTAGCCTCTTTTTCTCTATTACTTAAATGTCTTTTCTATTCTGCATATTAATTGCCTACCTGGGTTGCCAGGTAACTAGAAAGCACCCCAATGAAACACATTAGTTTTTTCCCAAAAAAGGGATTTAACAGCAGCATTTCGCGATGGCAAGATGTCCCACACGCTGAGAGTGAGGTAAGGCGTAAGGCGTACTGCAGTGTGGCCCTGTGCTTCAGGCCGGGAGAGACAGAGAGGGGCGTTAGGCAGCTGGGGCAACAGTGGCAACCTGTTTACCTTTGGCATCACAGGGGGTCAAAGCCACAAGTTAGCGCTACGCTGATCAATAGACAGGTGTCAACAATCTCCCCTGTACAGAAAAGCTTTCCTTTGAGATTCTATACAGATGTAGAAGCTTACACAGCATGTCAATGCCATGCATCACTGGCCTAGAATATAAAATATAAGCACCGTAAAGCTACAACACTAAACGTACCACTGGTAAACTACTGCTGTGAAGCTAAATGCGTAAGAAAGATAAACCCCGGAAGCTTCACATTGAAAGTTAAGACCGCGTTTAAGCTGAGCACCAGGAATTGCGGGCCACTGACTGGCATGGCTGTAAAAAGCGTCAGTTTAAGGTGTATTTAAGGTTTAACTGTCAATCTCAGAAGCAGCCTTGTGAACCAATGTGCTTTCAGACACAATGGAGAAATAACTGAGAGGCGCTGAAATTTCCAGTGTTGTTATGGAACTGAATTCGCAAACCAATTTCACAGTCTTTAAGTCCCAGCAATACCAAGCACATTTTGACAAGCTCTCTTCACAAGAATTTTACAGTTGTACCAAAAATGCTTCAAAATGCTATTCTAAAATGAAATTAGTTCACAGCACAGTCTTTTGTAAACTCACTAATGCGGGGCACTTATTAAAACAGGTTGACCCTGTGATAGTATGCATTATTATTAGAATAGCATACTGTACAAACACGATCTCGGAACCTCATTCATTGAAACAGAATGAATTGTAGAAACTGTATGGAATAGAATTCGTGTAATTCTTGCATTATGTAAATTGCAAATGCACATAAAATTCAAACATGTTTTTACGAACAACATGCGCAGAAATTCATTTAGCTCGTTTTTCGAATGAGGCCTGCTGTTCGTTTCGTTTAAACATAACACCAGTATAGACGCACAATTTTGCAAAAGTGATCCAACGGGGGGAAATGTAGGACGATTATTTAGTGATTATTTCAATCAAACTTTGGCAACACGTTTGACGCTGTACATTTTGATCCCCCTTTAAGAACAAAACACAGACGCACATCAAAAAAAAAGATGCAAGACGGTATAAAGCAGCATTTTTTCACAGTTTTGAAAACAAATGTTCTTTGAAGTAGATGCTTTGATCATTATTTAATAAATTTGGCCTTATTTTAAAAGACTTCACAGAAAAGCCTTTTTTTTTTTTTTTACAAATGCATTACTCTGTTTCAAAGGACAAAAATTTACTATTTGGTCAAAAAACTGCCTATATTGTTAATAGTTCTACATTCTAGAATCATAAACCCAAATATAATCGAAACGAGGATGACATACCGGCTTAATGACGGTGCAGTTCACACTCAGTCTACTGTTAAATTTTAAGAGATATATATAGTGCCAACCACTGGTAGAAATCTATTAACCTAAAGGTTAAGGAAGCCCCTACTGCATTCTTCCTTATGAATATTTATGCATGTATATGAGCTTTACAGTATGCAAATGACTCCAGCCTAAAGATATATCCACTGTATAGTAGCTTTAAATGACTGACAGCAGCTTTGCGACATCACGTTGTCTTCGAAAAAGGGGAAAAATCTAAATCAAAAAGGGTAACTTGCAAATTTGATAAAATCTCTTTCCGTAGCATGGGAATCATGCTGCACTTGATGTGTGATTATCCATGCTGTGGGTCCTTCATCAGATAAACCGCATCTCTCTTGTCTGTAAATGAAGAGCTTCCTCCTTACAGCAGCTCGTGTACACGGCTGCATTCAGGTGGTGAATTGCCAAGGGCCGTCCAAAAAAAATGTTGTGCAGATAAGAGTGATAGATATGTTTCATTAAAAAAGACTGTAAATCTAGGAAAGCCTGAGAAGGGAACAGCGCGTGGCACAGCAAGATTGATGGCGTAAAAATAAACAAAGCTGCATGTGTTCTAGCAAAACAAGCTCGCTGACACCCACGTACCCCCATCAGGCACACCGTATCCTCCAATGCAGAGGAGGCTGCTTCCTATTTAATTTAATAGGGAGTGAATCTGAGAGGAGGATTGGAAAACACGGTGCCCAACTTGACCTACTTTAACACTGCTGTCTTTAACATGCTTGATGCTTGTTCAAAAGTGTGATAGTGGAGAAACATCAATGGCTGAGGTTCATTTTACCACAATTTTACATCTTATTATGGTGTCTCAAAGGGGTAGATTGTGTGAAAATGTATATTCTGTAAAAATGTACTAAACTTTATGTTGTCCTAAACCTTTATGAATTTCTTTCTTCATTGGAACACATAAGGAGAAGCTTAGCAGATTGTTCCAGCTGCTCTTTTCCATTTTGACAATGAATGGCCAAAATCAAGCTCCAAGAAGTACAAAAAAGCATAAAAACATCAGTAGTCTAATGTTACTTGTGCATTGTATTCCTTTTTTTTTTTTAAGTCAAATGACAGATTTGTGTGAGAAACGAACAAAAGTATTTCTAGATGTGACATGTCTATAAATGGCATACTTGAATATACAGTACACTGACAAGAATGAGAGGTGAAACAGATGATTTTTTATTGAATAACAAATTACATTTTAAATGAATTTTTTTTGAGTGGCTTCAGAAGATTTGGAATATAGAACACCGATTTGATATACTATTTTTATGGTGTTTTTGGATGATTCTTGAAGCTCAAAAGATCCACCTCCATGTACCTTCATTGTATGGAAAAGAGCAGCTGGAACAATCTGCTAAACTTCTTCTTTTGTGCAAATTCTTTAACACTTCCGTTTTAAAGTGTTATAAAGGGTAGCCATAATCTAGAAAAACTAATGGGCTAAACAAAATGACCCAATTTTCATCCAACATTCCAGCGTTAGATTGTCTGAAATTCTGTTTGTCGTACCAGGACTGTGTCCAACAACATGAAACTGGGTCCTTTTCTACTCTCCTCAGGGGATCGTTGCCTTTCAATCAGATGCTTGAGCCTGAGGCAACATCTAGTTCTGCCTAAAACTGTCTGCTAGTGTCACTAAACTCAATCCCCTGATGAGTTGGGCTTATTACACGGGCAGACTCTCAAAATGCCCACTCAGCAGACTCTCAATACTGCTTTACACTTCTGAGACTTCTATCCACACATCTAGAAGACAATAAAGCTGGAGTCCTGTCATGTGCAAGAAACCAGAATCGGCAAAGGTTTAACACACAAAATCTCATTTTAAACCTGAGGTAGTTAATAGGGAGTGAATCTGAGAGGAGGATTGGAAAACACGGTGCCCAACTTGACCTACTTTAACACTGCTGTCTTTAACATGCTTGATGCTTGTTCAAAAGTGTGATAGTGGAGAAACATCAATGGCTGAGGTTCATTTTACCACAATTTTACATCTTATTATGGTGTCTCAAAGGGGTAGATTGTGTGAAAATGTATATTCTGTAAAAATGTACTAAACTTTATGTTGTCCTAAACCTTTATGAATTTCTTTCTTCATTGGAACACATAAGGAGAAGCTTAGCAGATTGTTCCAGCTGCTCTTTTCCATTTTGACAATGAATGGCCAAAATCAAGCTCCAAGAAGTACAAAAAGCATAAAAACATCAGTAGTCTAATGTTACTTGTGCATTGTATTCCTTTTTTTTTTAAGTCAAATGACAGATTTGTGTGAGAAACGAACAAAAGTATTTCTAGATGTGACATGTCTATAAATGGCATACTTGAATATACAGTACACTGACAAGAATGAGAGGTGAAACAGATGATTTTTTATTGAATAACAAATTACATTTTAAATGAATTTTTTTTGAGTGGCTTCAGAAGATTTGGAATATAGAACACCGATTTGATATACTATTTTTATGGTGTTTTTGGATGATTCTTGAAGCTCAAAAGATCCACCTCCATGTACCTTCATTGTATGGAAAAGAGCAGCTGGAACAATCTGCTAAACTTCTTCTTTTGTTCCACTGAAGACAGTAAGTAATTCAGGTTTAGAGTAAAGGACTATTTTCATTTTTAGGTGAACGGTCCATGAAAAATAAAAATGCTGAGGACCAGAAATAAAATATCAAAAGCCGTTGTGCAAATTCTTTAACACTTCCGTTTTAAAGTGTTATAAAGGGTAGCCATAATCTAGAAAAACTAATGGGCTAAACAAAATGACCCAATTTTCATCCAACATTCCAGCGTTAGATTGTCTGAAATTCTGTTTGTCGTACCAGGACTGTGTCCAACAACATGAAACTGGGTCCTTTTCTACTCTCCTCAGGGGATCGTTGCCTTTCAATCAGATGCTTGAGCCTGAGGCAACATCTAGTTCTGCCTAAAACTGTCTGCTAGTGTCACTAAACTCAATCCCCTGATGAGTTGGGCTTATTACACGGGCAGACTCTCAAAATGCCCACTCAGCAGACTCTCAATACTGCTTTACACTTCTGAGACTTCTATCCACACATCTAGAAGACAATAAAGCTGGAGTCCTGTCATGTGCAAGAAACCAGAATCGGCAAAGGTTTAACACACAAAATCTCATTTTAAACCTGAGGTAGAAAACAAAAAAAAATCAAAGCAGGATGGAGCGAACGAGTTTAAAAGAAAAGGAAGTGTATCTGAAGAGAGCTGTACGGTGTTTGGCTGCGGTTTAGGGGAGCCATTAGTAATCTGAAATGTTCAGAGAAACCCCTGGAAGAGGAAGGCATTGAAAAACATGGTCCATAATATTGCACAATATTTTAAGGGAATGTGGGACTGATGACGACTTTGCATCTGCTCGTTCTTAGTAAACACAAAAGGTGCCAATCTTCTGGATACTGAGAAAAAGTGATTCAGTGTCTGATACTACGTCAAAGCTAAAGTCATATGGCTTTCTAGGATTTACAAAAACGACTCTGAAATGATTCCACCTTGACGTGATAAATATTCAGAAGTAAAATCAGCAGCTACAGATGAAGTCACCTCAAGGACATGTTTTCGTTTAGACAGGAAGTGCAGAAGGACACTTCACTGTACAGATAATACAGTTTCGGCATCAACAAAATGGCACCTTAAAAACATCCAGAAGAAAGCAACCGGGCAGTTCCTCAGACTCATGATCATTGGACCGTATTCCTCAGAAGCGACTCCGTTTTCAGCCTGTTGAAAGGGTTGTGTCTTCTAAATCAGACAGCTGTGCCTCATCTCCTTAAGGCAGGTCCATGAAACTGGCCTTCTGGAGAGAGAAGGCTGACCCATGGACTCGTCGCCAAGGTCGGTTTCAGACACCTAAAGTTTTGGTGTCCAATTACCCGTCGTTTCGGCATCAACAAAATGGCACCTTAAAAACATCCAGAAGAAAGCAACCGGCAGTTCCTCAGACTCATGATCATTGGACCGTATTCCTCAGAAGCGACTCCGTTTTCAGCCTGTTGAAAGGGTTGTGTCTTCTAAATCAGACAGCTGTGCCTCATCTCCTTAAGGCAGGTCCATGAAACTGGCCTTCTGGAGAGAGAAGGCTGACCCATGGACTCGTCGCCAAGGTCGGTTTCAGACACCTAAAGTTTTGGTGTCCAATTACCCGTCAGCCCAAAAAGGCTCCACTGACAGAACCGTTCCAAATGGAGGATCATCACCTTTTCTTCCCCATCTTCGGATTCCAGATCTTTACTCTCATGTCACTGTGGGATGAAAGAAACAAAAAAGGGAGACATAATATGAGAGGTGAAGGAGATGCTCAAGGCCAGTAATCAGAAAGACAGACACACTCGGTTGTCTGAATCTTCAGACACATCACAGTAGCTCCTCACATTGAAGAGATGGCACAGACATCAAAACCAAGAGTTCACAAAGCGAACCGCAACAGTCCCCGCTCCTCTCACCAATTAGGTGCATGCACCGCTTCATCCCAATAAAAATCAAAACCCCGCTGTGTGAACCAGCCCACAGAACCGCATGCTCGCATCTTAACTAGCACACTCGATCTCTGAAGAAAAAGATCGCAGCGTGATGCAAATTAATGGGTCATTAGATTGGGATAAAGTTCAAATAAGTTCTTCACAGGAAAAAAAATTCATTATTTTTCCAGAAAAATTATGATTAATTCACCTGAAAAGCAAAATTGTGTGCGATAATGAAAGATAATTTTCAGTAAAAAAAAAAAATAAATAAAAAAATAAAATAAAATAAATATATATATATATATATATACAGTGCCGTGAAAAGGTTTTTGCCCCCTTCCTGTTTTTAAAAAAAAAAATTTTTATACATTTTTTGCATATTTGTCACACTTAAAAGATTCAGATTATCAAACACATTTTAATATTAAACAAAGATAATGCAAGTAGATACAAAATGCAGTTTTTAAATGGTGATTTCATTTAAGGGAAAAAAGCTGTCCAAACCTGCCTGGCCCTACGTGAAAAATTAATTGACCCCTCCTGTTAAATCATGACCGAACGGTGATTAACCACATTATTTTAGAAAGCTGGGTTAAATTTCACTAGCCACACCTAGGCCTGATTACTGCCAGACCTGTTGAATCAAGAAATCACTTAAATAGAACCTGTCTGACAAAGTGAAACATGTTTAAAGAGCAACACTTCCTGCCGCGATCTAAAGAAATTCAAGAACAGATGAGAATCAAAATAGTTGACATGTATCAGTCTGGAAAGGGTTATAAAACTATTTCTAAGGCTTTGGGACTCCAGCGAACCACGGTCAGAGCAATTATCCACAAATTGAGAAAACTTGGAATAGTGGTGAACCTTCTCAGCAGTGGCCAACCTACCAAAATTACTCCAAGAGCGCAACAACGACTCATCCAGGAGGTCATAAAGGAACCCAGAACAACATCTAAAGAACTGCAGGCCTCACTTGCCTCAATTAAGGACAGTGTTCATGATTCAACAATAAGAAAGAGACTGGGTAAAAATGGCATCCATGGGAGAGTTCCAAGGCAAAAGCCACTGCTGACCAAAAAGAACACAAAGGCTTGTCTCGCATTTGCCAACAGATCTTGATTATCCCCAAGACTTTTGGGCAAATATTCTGATGAGATGGACTGATGAGACAAAAGTTTAACTTTTTGGAAGGTGTGTGTCCCGTTACATCTGGCATAAAACCAACAGAGCATTTCATAAAAAGAACATCATACCAGCAGTCAAACATGGTGGTGGTAGTGTGATGATCTGGGGCTGCTTTGCACCTTCAGGACCTGGACGACTTGCCATAATTGACGGAACCATGAATTCTGCACTCTATCAGAAAATCCTGAAGGAGAATGTCCGGTCGTCAGTTTGTGACCTCAAGCTCAAGCGCACTTGGTTTATGCAGCAGGACAATGATCCCAAACACACCAGCAAGTCCACCTCTGAATGGCTCAAGAAAAACTAAATTAAGGTTTTGGAGTGGCCAAATCAAAGTCCGGACTTAAATCCAATTGAGATGCTGTGGCATGACCTTAAACAGTCCATTCATGCTCGAAAACCCTCCAATGTGGCAGAATTAAAACAATTCTGCAAAGAAGAGTGGGCCAAAATTCCTCCACAGCGATGTAAAAGACTCATTGCCAGTTATCGCAAACGCTTGATTGCAGTTGTTGTTGCAAAGGGTGGCACAACCAGTTATTAGGTTTAGGGGGCAATTCATTTTTGGACATCTTTTTTCCTTTAATAAATGAAATCATCATTTAAAAACTGCATTTTGTATTTACTTGCATTATCTATGTGTAATATTAAAATTAGTTTGATGATCTGAATATTTTAGGTGTGACAAATATGCAAAAAAAAAAAACCCCGGAAGGGGGCAAAAACCTTTTCACGGCACTGTATATATATATAAGTACATTTTTCCTAACCCAATGGTTTTTTTCTGTTTTATGCATAAATCATACGCAATTTAATGTGGTTTGTGCAAGAAGAAAATTGCCAATAGGATATAAAAAATGTTTCACCAAGAAGGTTTTAGCCCGAATTTCTAGGTCTTGCAAAAAACACTTCAGTTTATGAAGTTAACTTATGACCAGTTCTAAACAGCAATACTGAAATGGATCCTGGTGAAACAGCACCAAGTCTCGCGGGGCATTGGGGTAGGAAGTATCTTGTGGTTCCTAGACCTTAACTAGAACCAATTAAACAGATTTATGCCACTGGTGTTGAATGCAATTAAAGGTGCAATAGGTTTTTATTGCTCTCTAAAAGATGAGCCACTTGAGTGCATTGAAATGGGGAAAAAAATAAACTATGCATAGAGTCTAATTAGTAAAATTTTCCTTTATTGGCCCAAAGTGAAAGAGCTAAGGGAAAGTTCTGTGGGATCAAACACCTGAAAGAAGTTGGCCTATGAAACAAAACTGTATGAGAGAGCTGGAAACAGAGAGAAGATGCACACAGAGAAAGATGATATACAATTGACAGAGTGAGAAATAATTGACAACAACAAAATGACACAGTTGAGCTGTGTAGTTTATTCTCAAGACATTCTACGGCTCACGTCCCGATATCTTGAAGCTACAAAATTGCTAAAAATAACATTCTTTGAAAGATTCAAATGTCACCTTGCAAAGCTTGGCAAATCTTGCAACTAGTTTTTTCCTCAGAAACCTGGTCAGCATTTTGTTTCCAAATAGGCTCATTGAAACCTGCGCAAGTTGCGAAGTAGCCAGCCAATCATATCACAGCTTGAAGTTTTGGAAGATTCTTGCCACTTTTATGTGCTGCAATATGCATCAGACAATCTGAACAGGCTGAAACGACCACTTTTATGTGATAAGTATGCTTATGGTAGGAGAGTTTCAGCTAAGGACTTGTCAGAGAGAAAAAGGGAAAAGGGGAAAATACTATCAAACAGAGAGACATCGAGAGAAAGGACAGTACCAGAGGGAACCAGGCAGGAGGTGGTTAGTGGAGGCTCAGGGGAGGCTGGTGGCCCGGCCCTTGATGGCCAGGACCCGACGGGGCAGACAGGGCGTAAGCCCGGGGACATAACTCCACAACTTCACCCGACAGTCACTGTGGTTATGAAGCCCCACAGCGCGAAGGGAAGGGATGAGAGCGAGAGAAAGACAGAGACAGAGAGAGTTGAAAGAACAGGATAGCTTTGTTAGAGGCACATTAATGAAGAACAGTCAAACAATCCCCTGCCCACACCATCTGTTCTACAAATAAGCGCCCCCGAAATGCACAAAAGTAGGTCTTAAAAACATATTAGTCCGACTGAACATTTCTAAGTAGACTACTGTCTGGAAAAAGACGTCACAAGAGAGTGAACAGAGTCGCATTGAGCTGATGACCCATTTAGGACTTTGGAGGGCCGTAAATAACTGGTTATATTATTATTATTTCAAAATGACCATAGTTAAAACCTGTTCTCCTATAAGATATGAAAGATGCTCTTCATCTTGTTTTCCTAGTGCACCTATGAAGTTTTCTTCTAATTTAGTAGAATTTAGGGAAGTATGACGTGCAAACAGGTTCTTTCGACCAAACTATTCATCTTTTCTTTCACATCATAATGTATTTCCATACATTATGTGACATTAGCTCGTTGTGGCAAATACAGCCATTTATTACCACTGTTCGATTAAGATGAATTGTTGTATTTCTTGCATTTTTGCATATCTGCGTGTCCCAGTTATTTACTCCTAGCATAATTGAGATAAATGTTCATGCCATATAAAGTTCTTAGCATCTCCTATAGGCTTTTCCCTGCATATTGAAAATGACTAACAAAGTTGATTACATTTCTGTCATGTTGCTAATATCACAGTTTTGAAATCCTTGTACACATGGTGATGCATGAATGCAGAAATATATGGCCTTTGTGTCTTGTGTCAGAAATATATGGGTCAATGACAAATAAGAGTGTCTAATTTCAAAAATCTCTCTTTGTACTCTTTGTATTCACCTTGGTTTCATATAGACTTCATTTTGGTGATGTATGCAGGACTTCTCCAATCATTTAGTCCGCTTAAAGGTCGCCCCTGTAAACTTCTGTTCAGCTGCAGTTTTTGATTGCAATGCCCAGCAATCGATGCATTGAACCAAGTCCTTAACTTTTTTTTTGATAAGCCTTTACACTCATATTTACATCACAATATGGAAGAAAGGATATATATGGATATTTGCCTCTGTTTACCAGATTGGTCTGAGTCACGAACAAACTGTCCAGCCTAATTTGCAAACCAGTCCATTAAAAAAAAAAAAGACAGAACCAAAAGAACAATTTTTCTATAAATCTTGCATCCCTAGTAATTTATTATTTTTCTAAACACTCTCTCTTGTCTGATGCACGCACCTGGAGGCAGTAAAGATCTGTTTGGAATTGGTGCAGATGGCATTGATCGGGCTGTCATGGCCCTTAATCTCTCCGATGGGGGTGAAGTTGTCCACGTTCCACACCTTGAGCATTCCCCCCCTGCAGGCACTGAGGAGCATGGGCCGCCCGGGAACAAACGCCAGAGCACACACCCAATCCTTGTGCGCGTTTGGGATTTGCTGTGGAGAAACAAGTATCGTTCTAGTTTTAGAACACCTCCGATCTACAAACTGCACCATTTTCGGTGTCAACCGTGTCTGCGGTACAAGCAGTGCATGAAGTTTAATTCTGCAGTTTCGGTGTTGACCTCTAACCCTTACTCTAAGCAAAAATTTGTAGTAAAGCACCAGTAATAATAAAACTACAAATGAGTTCGACAAACAAGCCAAATTAACATTTTATTAAAAACAAACCTCAGAGTAATAAAAACATATATGCTATGAAAGAAATGAAACATTCATGAAGCTCTATATATCACGTGAAGAATTTCCACCAAGTTCCTGCTGATCCCGCCAACAGGCCTGTGGGGAAGCGGACGGAAATTCTCATAAAAGAGAGCAACCAAAGCACATTATCTTGGCAAATTTACTCAGTTGTGCAATCAAAGAGGGCAGGCGAGTAAGTAAAGTTTAGATGTTTAGATAAACTTGCTGTTTATACATTGGTAACCGCACTGGGATTCAAACGTCTTCCTTTTGAGGGAGAGAGGTAGCGTCTGCTGTCAGTCACTTAATATATAAAGATTTGGATGTGCACATACAGCTGTGATCTGATTTAACCCAGATATATGCGTTTCATAGATTGAGCGCTGAATAAATCTGCGTAACGAAAATAAAGCTTGACATGAAGATATAGCTTTAAATCAAGATGTCTTTCACCTACAACTGACAAAAAAAAAAAAACTGGAAATGTTTACAGGTATAAGATCTCCATTCATCATCACACATTGATTTTCCTGGGGATGCCTGTGCTCGATTTTGGATTTCAGCATGTGCTAAAACTATGACTATTATAATCAAATGTACCTGTGAAATGCATAATTCATATTTCCTTGATGTGCAGGAGACTCGTTTTGTCGAACCCATTTTTACATCACCTTATAATAGTCTTCCATTATTTTTGACCTTTTAGCTCTGGATAAATGTGTTCGGTATGTGTTTTTGTCTAATATAAGCAGCTGGAGAAACCATTACAATCAAACATACTACTAAGAGCTTTCTCAGCTGTCAGACCATGGTGACGTCAACCAGCGCAGATAAATGAAGCCATCCTACATCTATTGACACAGGAACAATAGGTAAACGCTGGGTTATTACCCTCTGAAAAATCATTTGTCTGTATATATATTATTTATAGGTATTGGATATTGTACTTAATTTCGTTGCTGTCAGTCATGTAAGCTGTCTTAACTTTAATGTACTTTAAACTCTTTAAAGCACTTTCTGCTTATAATTCACACAGTCCCCTTTTTTATTTCTAGTTCCTTAAATTAAGTTAACTCCAAAAATCGACATTTCTCAGTCATAATTACATTTTGCCACATAAGGCTTTTTGCTTTCACATTATGATGATTGTACAGACGACAAATTAATAAATAACCATAAATGGTTAATGCATTATAAACAGCGTGTAAATTATGGGCGGTATTCAGGGGTCCGATCCCCCCATCTCCCGTGTGACATTATGACATCACACATTAACAAAAAACCAAAAGCCGCTTAAATGCAATAGTAATCTTCTCATTTTTACCTGAATAAGTTCATGCTGTCCCAGATCCCATTTCTTAATGCCATTGTCACGGGAACCACTGAACAGCACGTCGCCATGTATAGCAAGGCACTCAATCCCATCGTAATGAGGGGGCTCGAAGTTATGAGCTGGTCCGATGTTACCCTGGGTTCCCTCCACAACATCAAATATCTGCATTAAAGGGGTCATGAATTGAGAATGAATTTGGACATATACTGTAAGAGGTCATTGCAATATAAAAACATACTGCAAGTTTCAGAGCTCAAACATTTCTTGTTAGTTCAAAGAAGCTTTTATTGAAACCAAGCTGCCAAAACAACTTTTTCCTACAGGTTTTTATTACACAATAGAGATGAATACATTAGCACAAGACTGCTGTATGATTGTTTTGATACATAAGGCCTTATGTGGTCAGCCGTTCTGTCGCACAATGATTTATTTCATATCGGTAAATCAAGCCATCAACTGAACAGTCATATGCACATTGTTCCTTTTAGTAGCATGAAAAACAACAGATATTCAAATTGGGATTAAATATATACAAAAAGCGAACAAAGAACGATCCCTTTATAATCACTGGATCTGTCGATCACTTTAGTTCAGTGCAGTTCTGCTCTCTCACCAAATCTGCATAATGAAACTCAAATTTACATTGTGTCAGCACTTTTTTTGGTTATGATGAGAGCATTCACAAGAGTATATGAGTCAGCACTGAACAAAATCATGTGCCCAGTGCTGGAAAAACAAAGTGTTAAAAGAAAACTTTGATGCAGTAAATGTACTGTAAACATAACACTTTACATGATTAGTTGACTGCAAATGCATAATCACATGCATGCTACTTATTTCATATGTAAAGATGTTGCAATTGTTCAAACCATAGTCAAAAACAAGGTAGAAAATGGCCATTTCTGCTTCTGATGTAAATATTTTCCTAAAATTATAAGCACAACATTGTACTCAATGTCAAATCTACATCCTAGCTGACTACATGAAGAAAGGAGAACTATATAAAAAAGGGCAAACGCACCTTCACGTAATGGTCTTTGGATCCAGTGATCACCTGATCCTTGCCTCCTCCAGAATAACCCACTGTAAGACACATGACTGACCCAATGTGTCCGGTCAGCTTCCCAGTGGTCTGCATTCTGCACACAAAGAATATAACAGAATATGCACATAGTGATGAACATTGTACAGCCAATTCACTTGGTAGGTTTATTAATTAATCAATAAATGACCATCAATAAACGCTAATACCAGTTGCACTCGACTTAGGAATTAACTATGCACCTGTTGAGGTCCCATGTGCGGACAGTGTTGCCTGCAGCAGCGTACAGCACGGATCCGGAGGGATTGAGGGCGATCTGGTTGATCTGGTACTCGCCCTGAGCTGTAGTGATAGTGTGAGTGGTTGTACTAGCACAGGCATCGCCTGAGACCACCTGACCCGATGACCTAAAGATGGACGAGTTAAAATGTTCATGTTATACATAAAACCAGGTGCATTCAGATGCTACGGCTAAATGCTAATTTCATATGTTGAAAAAATACTCACGTGAACGTCCGGACGCACTTGGCAGAATCACGAATGTCCCAAACTTTGATATATGAAGTAGAAACCGTGAAGACCAGGCCGGAGTTGCTGCAGTATTTGACAGACACAACGTTGTTAGGATGTCCTCTCAGGGTCACGATTTCCTGTCCAGTCACCAAGTTCCACACCTTGCAGGTACGATCTGAATTCCAGGTATTAAAAAATATATACTATACATATTAAGTCTAAAGTAACAAGTGCACTTTAGGCAAATTGGCAAAAGATTAGACATATATCGTTTTGCCGATTTTATCGGCCGATATGAGCCTGTCGCAGATATATCGGTATCGGCGAATACGCTGCCAATATGCTGCCCATATGAAATTTTTTTTTACAGAACATAAAACACAGATAAAAGTCTTGTAAATGGTGTAATTACGTAGTTTGTCCAGCAGAGCGCACTCCATTGTTTGCTACCTGGATGAAACGCTTTAAAGCTTAAGTGTATGGAATACCATTGAAATTTTGAACGGCCATATATCCATAACGGCGCAGCGGATCCACACCAAATTCGGGGATCCCTTCAGCTCGAGGAACCCTCTTGAACCCCGAATCGAGGGTACGTCTCGAGGCTCGCTTTCGAATGAGACCACCTCAGCATCCATAGCCCCCGGCGTCCGGGAGTTACCGGCGGTTAAATTCGCGGTCGGTCGCCCACCCGGGATCAGGCGATCCCGGGTGGGCTACCGACGCGTGGAGGGTGGCGTTCGAGAGGGGGCCTCGAGCTGAAGGGATCACCCGAATTTCACTTCAGTAAGGAGGTTGAATAAACTTCAACTTTACTGTTCAGTGCACTGATGTCCGACTCATTTTGGATAATAAAGTTTATTGTTTAATTGTTAAATGCCCTACCTTCATTACATATCTTTGTCACGTCATTACAATTGTTTTATAATTTATAATTTAATTAGGTTTAGAAATTAATTTTATCAATGTATTAATTAACAACACCAATATAAACCCAAAACACAAAAACACAAAAACATAATTTGCAAAATGCAAAAGTGCAAAACATGCAATTATGATTACAGTGTCTAAATTAATAATAACTGAAGCACTGTGAGTAATATATGAAGTTGCACAATATTTCTGTTGAGCTGCCCACAGTTAGCCATCTTTACAGCAGTGGGCTGATGAATAGCTCAATAAAGCATGCTGAAACTATGACCTCGAGAAAATGTAATTCAAATTGGCTCATGTTTGTGTGCTTATGGGTGTTTATGTTTTCCTCTCAAAGGTTCAGAGTGAAAAACTGTACCTTTGGAGCCAGTGAAAAGCAGCTCATCTGTGGCATCCAGGCAAAGCACAGGTTTGGTGTGTCCCTCGGCCATTGCCACACACTGCAACGGGGTCGTCCTGCCCCCTTTCAGCCCACCTGTGGGAGTGATTACACCCCTGCACAAAGACACATAGCATTTTAAAACACTGTTGTGAAGTGAGGAAGTCTCTGAGGTTAGTTGAGTAGGTGGAAAGGAGAATGTCGCAACAACGTTTTTTTGTGTTCAGATTCAACGTGTGCCATCTGTTCCATGCGGATGGACAAAAAAAAGCATAACTATTTTTTGCATCAATGTGTGAAAGAACAACAGATTGAGGGAGAACAGAAAGGAAACAAAATCGAAATGGGAAGAAGTTATCCTGATATGATCCCAATCCATTAACCTAATTACAGGTTATTGTCAGGTTTGTGAAGTAAAACTGCCTGGGTATGCTTAGGACCCCAAAGGGTAGCTATTAGTAATGGCAGGTTTAAAGCCATAAAGAATGCTGTTTATATGTAGGGTAAGCTAGCATGTTATGCAACACTAGGCTAATGCTATTCTAACGGTATGCTAAGCAAGTACATGGAGCTTAACAATATACAGAATTGGTACACAACAGTATTAAATATACTAAGTATTATATAAGCATTAGAAAAAATGCAGCAAAGAGATTTTGTAGAATTTCTTCTCAGTCATTGAATAGAGTAGTCATTAGAAGTTCTTTCGGCCAATGGAACTGCTAGGTGGACTTGATTCAATGGGCAGACTCAATTGTTCACGTCCACTCCTTTGTGAGATCCGGCGGTTGAACCTTGCACACTTCAGACCCCCATCCTTCGTCTGTTCTCCCTGAAGTTCATTGTCAACGTGCTGATATTTTATTTGAGTTATCAGACTCCAGCTGTGTTTTACAGGCCGCCACTCTGTCTTTCTCTCTAGACTCCATGGTTCACACAGGATACGGCCATGAGCAAGGCAGACGGACATCAGTGAAAACAATAGTACAGACTCCATATATCGAGCCAGTGCTAATTATGTCCTGTCATAGTGTACCACTGCCAAGCAGCAGGGGAGTCGATACATGTGATGTCACACCGACTGCAAAGCCAAGCCGAATGCACACTTGAAAGGGAAGCCTGTTCGACTGATGCAAACTGCAGCCAAGTCCTCTGGGAGTTGATGACTTGGGTTCAGAAGCGTAAAATCCGCATTTAAAAGCCGCTCAGTTGGTCACTGCTGACTCTGCAGGGTAGCACAGAAAGTGGATCTATTTTAAGACAACTTCAATGTCCATATGTTTTGCAGAAGTGTGACCGGCTCTCTACCCAAAGGCTGCAACTGACAGAAATGTTAAGCACCTAGGTGCTGTTTTCCATTTCTTCCAGGCAAAAGTAACATATTATTTAACTATGACTAATTCTGACATTTTGGAATGTTAGTGCAAGGCAAACCATTTGATATGTGTGATTAAAACAATTATTTTAATTATGTCAGGATCTCAAGAGGAACCTGGGCACAGGTCTTTGGAGCCTCCCTAATGGCTAATCTTTAGTCCATCGAATTAAAGGGGTCATATGATCTTGCTAAAAAGAACTTTATTTGGTGTATTTGGTGTAATGCAATGTGTTTATGCGGTTTAAGGTTCAAAAAACACATTATTTTCCACATACTGTACATTATTGTTTCTCCTCTATGCCCTGCCTTTCTGAAACGCATTGATTTTTACAAAGCTCATCGGTCTGAAAAGTGAGGTGTGCTCTGATTGGCCAGCTATCCAGCGCGTTTTGATTGGCCGAATACCTCAAGCGTGTGACGCAAATGTTACGCCCCTACCATACTGAGATGGCCGGTCAGGCGGGCGCGAGGAGACAAAGACATTAAAACCCATTATAAACGAGGCATTTGTTGCATCCAGTGGGACATAATTACGGATTATAATGACTTATACTGTCTTTTTACGCGTTGCGTTGCATCGCATCGCGCCACGTAAACATAAAACCATGTCTGCATTTGTGATCGGAGAAATGACAAACAACAAGCGCTACTCTACCCTGCCCAAAACTCGCGTTTGAATCATCAGTGGCAAATTCTTTAAATATAAAAAAACTTACTGTCTTTGAGTCAGAACAGCCGGCAATGTAGTCTACTCTACCAGGATCAGGAAACAGTCCTCCATAAAATGTGCTGCACACATCTGAATATTTGGGTTGAGTGTTCTGGAACAGTGTTGTAAATACAACTTAACCACTGATTTGTAGTCGTGTCTTCTTTTGGAAGGCCAAACAAAGTAGTTTCGCTTTCACAACGAAACACAGCGTCACACACGGCGGGCTAGAGAGAGCGGCGGTGGCCTAGAGTGAACAGAGGCCGGTGGCTAGAGTGAGGAACGGCTGGCGGGCTTGCAGCAAGCACATGTGACGACCCCGGGCTGGACTCCACGGTGAAAGCCGATCCGGCGATCCACAGCGCGAAGTTGATGTATATCCTCAGCGACCAGCACGGATCAACTCTAGGCATGACAAAGCAGATATCTCCTCTTTTGGAAGGCCAAACAAAGTAGTTTTGCTTTCACAACGAAACACAGCGTCTCCACGGCATAGCGGCGGTGGCAACAATACTACAGCGAGAATATAAGTTATGCCTTCTTTCTTTGCGTGAACATTTGGGCGGCGTTATGCAAATCTTCCCACATCGTGATGTAGACATGTGGGGGCGTGTTAGAATGAGCCATTTTAAATAGGCGTGGTTGACTCTTACTTTTATAAAGAATATCTCTTTAGATTGGAGACTTTAGTCTTTGCAACTTTACAGATCTTCTTTATGCACCAAGAGATTGTAACACTTCAAAGAGAAAGGAAAAATTGAAATCGCATCATATGACCCCTTCAAGAATGCACTCTACACACCACTTAGGCTGTATGCACCAAGGGCCCTGGTGTTCAGTTTCTTTTGTCGCATGTCCTGAGGCTTCAGAGGTCCCTTGCCCCATTGGCCTGGTCCATAATCCAGCCTGAGTTGATATGCACAAGAACAGAAAGTAGATATGACTTGTGGATTGTGCTTGTACACGTGTGCTGAGGCAGCATGGAATTTGCAAAGGATCAACTGAAACTTTGACACTCAAACAGGGATGAAAAGGAGGAACCGCATCTGAGGATGCAGAGCAACACAGGGCTTTTTAAACATATTTATATCAACAGAAATTGCTTAAAAGACTCTTTGCAGGAGCCAGACAGCACTTCTTCCTCTTGTCAGCCTGTGAGCGAGATGGTCCCAATTAGGAAGCACAGAATTTCCCAGCAGCTCCCAAAAGACACTTTAAATCTCGTTTTCACCAGTATGAACACCGTCAAACCGCCCGTCAGTCACTGAAGCCGCAGCCAGACGAAGGTGAGGCAGGAACGGTTTTTGGAACTCGTGTTATGATGTCACCATTTTGTTGTCTGTCTAATGGCTGACAGGCTTGACATAACCATCACACGACACCTGTCATGGCTGCTCATATCACATCGGAAAGCGGACAATGCTTCGCCTTGGATGGCATCCATTAGCTTTTTCTGTTTTTCCCCAACAATAGTGCAGGCAAGCTGGTGTGCAATTGAAAAACACAATTTCCACATCCATCGTAACAGCACCACAGAGCCAACTGCAAATGGATGTAACGTTTACTGACAGCTGGCAAGCTGAATTTCTGGTCCAATTTATGATGGACCGCTGCCACGGGCTAAATGAGGGTTTCTATCGCAAGAAAGATGTGCTAAACACACGTTGTTTTGATGGAAGAGAGGATTCATCTATAAACTGCTCCAGAACTTCAGGAAGCAAAAATAAAACTTAAGGTCTCAAGGTCTTGTACTTGAGGGACCAAGACAAGTAAAATGACTTCGGGGTTGATCGCTCATCTCTCGTCTGACTTATTTCTGTCTTATTTTCCCATGCTCCTCCTTGAGCAGAGTGGAGGGTGCATTATGTCAGTCACAACAGTGGGGGTGTTTTCAGCTCAGTACTGACCCCTCCTGGAAATTGGAGAAGTAATTTCTTTGAGTAAACAGGTGGAAGTAATCTGTCAGAAGAAAAACAAAATCAAACAAAAGTAGGCATTACTTTTCAAAAACTGCCTTCATTTTTTGTGTCAATTTTTGCTGCCAAGAAAGCATTGTAACTCTAGTTGTGGCTGCCAATTAGCCCACATACATTGGCAACCTGGCAGGGCCAAACAAGCTTTCCCTCCCCTAAAAAAAATAATAATGAGGCTCTTCCCCTTAAGGCTGACAGCGTTCCCGACCAGCCCAGTCTCGGAACGCTCCATCCTGCCGGCCGAGCGAGACGGAAATGAAGCTGGAGTTTGGGATGAAGGGAAATTGGTCTCCTGTGGGCTAGGATCAGCCTCTGTCCAGCTCAGCGCCTGTGAAGTCCTAATGATGGTGGAGCCGTCAAAGCCTCTGTGCAGGCGCAGGCGCACAGAGGTGACAAGAGGATGGCTGATTAAAGAGGAAACTGGGACATCCCAGCTCTCTGAGGACAGATGAAACACGAGAGGCTGCTGTTGGCACATTTGTGCTCTCTAAAGTGAGAGGAACTCTAGGGAGGTCCGGCGAAAAGGAACTGATTGTGATCAGCACTGTATGAGGAGTTTAAACATAAGTATCTACTAAGTAGTTTATGTGTGTACAAACTTTAATCAATAAATACTAACTTACAAACTATGATAAAGCATTTAACTGAAGCTGTGTTTGCATATTATACATTTTTAACTATATATGCAACTAGGTATTTTGCCATCTGAAGAAAAATGTAAGTGGTGTGTGCACATGCAAAACTCCTCACCATGTTTACAGTGTTCTAGGTGGTTTTCAGGACAATGCTTTGTGGTTGCTAAAGTGTCCTGGCTGTTTGCTAATCACGTCAAAATAAGACTTCTCTAAATGCTCCTACTTCCTTTAATGATTTGCTTTCTTTATTGCCCACCAGGAGAAACAGTTCACAGTTGGGAGTTGGGAGTTGGTAATAGTGATGTTTGCTTTAGCAAGCTTCAAAAATGAGCACCACATAATTTCTCCACACCATGCAGCTTAATTTTTTGCTCATTTGAGTTAAGCATTATTAATGAAAATGCTTGCAATTTCATTCCTCACTTAGTGTCAAACAAACTCAATACAGGTGTAGTGCCATGCTGCGCTATGAACATTACTGCCATAAACGAACAATAAGTCTATACACACAGCCAGAAACTCGACATGCAAGGCCTGCAATACTAAAAACGCATGAAAAAGGAAACACTCCATTTCACACAAGTGCAAAAACCAAAACATTACAACAAATGACAGTAAATTTGGAAGAAAAAAATAGAAATTATGTTCTATAAACCAAACCTTCATGCAGCACATAACCAATGAGGAGTGAGCTGACGTTTCTGGACCCCTTCCACTGGGTTGAAAGCAAAGAAATCAGATGTTCTGAGAAAAACATGAAGTGTGAAAGGGGGAGTGGAGATGGGGGGGGGGGGGGGGGGGGCC